AATAAAGGGCAATAATCACTTTCCTAGATGTGCTGGCAATGCTCTTACTAATGCACCCCAATATTCTGTTAGCCTTTTTAGCTACAATGACACGCTGTTGACTCATATCCAGCTTCTCATTCACTGTAATCCCCAGGTCCTTTTCTGTCAAACTGCTTCTAACCAGTCAGTTCCCAGCCTTTAGCAATGCTTGGGATTCTTCCTGTCCCAAGTGCAGGACTCTGCACTTGTCCTTGTTGAACCTCGTCAGATTTTTTTTTGGCTCAATCCTCCAGTTTGTCTAGGTCACTCTGGACCCTGTCCCTACCTTCCAACGGAGGTCCCTCCTCTTCCCCTATCTTAATGTCATCTGCAAGCTTGCTGAGGATACAATCCATCACCTCGTCCGGGTCATTCATTAATAAAGATGTTGAACAAAAATGGCTGCAGAGCTGACCCTTGGGGTAGTCCACTTAATGCCAGTTGCCACCCAGACATCAAGCCATTGATCACTGTTCATTGAGCCCCAAGATCTAGCCAGCTTTCTGTCCACCTTACAGTCCATTTATTCAATCCATACTTCTCCCTCTTGCAGCTGCTCCTGGGCAGGTGGCTGTGCACAACAGGGAGGGAGCACTGATGTTGGGGTTTCTCCCTGCCCCTGTAACTCATCTCCATAAGAGGGAGGACAGCCTGACTGCTTCAGTGCACTTCCGAAGTGTATGAGATCCTCTAAGAAATGCAGACAGAGTGCCCTCGAAAATTTCTGCAATTTCTTCAGCAGCCAGCTCTCTCAGTCTATCGTGCGTGAATAGACACACTTTCTCTCTCTCTCTCTCTCTCTCTCTCTCACACTCTCACTGTTTGAGTTACACACAGTCTCTGTCACGTTCACCTCCCAACACATACTTGTATTGTACTTCTTGCATTGCACTAGGGATGTTAAATATCAGTTAATTGAATAGTCGATTAACCTCATGAATTCTTATCGGTTACTTGACTATTCTATAGTCCCTGGGGGTGGGTCTGGCAGGCAGTGTGCTCCGGCCCCACTCTAAAGGAGCCTCCAGCAACTCTGTGCTGCTGCCTCTGTATGAGAGGCAGCAGTATGGGGTGCCAGGCAGGAGCTGGTATGCGAGGGAAGCCAGCTTAAAAACCAGCTCCTCACACAGACTGGCTGCCCCGGTTCCTAATACACTTCAAATGCAGAGCTATAGTGGGGGTAGGTCCTAGACCCAGCACAAGCCAGAACTGAGCCAAGCTGCTGGCCAGCCTGCAAAAAAATTAACTTGCAGGGGAGAGGGGGGAAAATGCGTGTAGTCTATAGCATTAACCTATATGCTTTTGCTTATCAATTAAGCAGTTAATCGACTATACCTATATATTCTCTGCAATTTCATTCTTTCAGAATATGTTATTTTAAGGTTGTTGACATATGTATGCATTTCATTTTAATTTTTACTTCTCTTACATTAAATTTAATTCTTTGAGTAGTGAGTTCTAAAATGTCTAACCTGTCCTGACTGGAGTAATTAACCATATGGTAACTTTAAAAAAATTATATCATATTTTGATTTGTTGTTTCTACTGATGATGCCTAATGGCTGGGAATGGGAACTGCCCCTCCCAGAGCCAGCACCTCATACTCCCTCCTTCATCCTGTACCTCTGCCCCAGACCAGACCCTCTTCTCAAGTGCAAGTACCCCAAATCCCTGCCCTCTCTTAGAACCAGCACCCTGTACCACCTCCTGCTGCACCCCAATACTGTGCCCAGCCCAGAATCCCTTCTGCACCCAAATTCCCTCCCAGAGCTTGTATGCTCACCCCCAGTTTCACTGAATGCTCCAGACAGAACCTGCATACCATCCTGAACTCCAATCCCTTGCCTCAGCCCAATCAAAGGGAATGAGGGTGGAGGAGAGCAAGCAGAGGAGAGAGTGGGATGGGGTTTTGAGGAAGGGGTGAGGCCTTGCGGAAAGGATGGGGGAGATCCTGGGTTTCCCTTAAATTCAAAAAAGTGATCCTGGGCACAAAAAGATTAGATACCAGTGGTCTAAAATACAAAAGTGCAACTCAGGTCCTGCTGGGCACCTGTGCCAGGCAGCATCGTGGCTGCCAGGCTCTTGGTTGTGCCACAGTGTGGCAGCCTAACTCCTGGGCTCCTGGTCCCACTGCCAGACAGTCCCACTGCCTCCTAGTCCCAACTGGGCAGCTGCACCTCTGGGCAGCTACTGGGCTTCTGGCTTTGCTGTCAGGCAGCAGCCCCCCTGCCTCCTGGTTTCACTGCCATAGGGCAGCCCTGCTACTGGACTCCAGCTTGCTGCAGGACTCCCAGCCGCCAGCCCTCCACTGGGATTCTCTGTTCCTGGAACTGACCACAGATTTTGCTGAACCAGAGTGTCCTGGTGTAGAGAGATTGAACCTGTAATTAGTTTTAATTGACTTTTTCTAGCTATTACACTTTTTTACTGGTTAAAAGGTAAGTCATTAAAAAGTATAGTACTTTTTGAAGTGAGCTATTGCAACATACATATTCTGGCTGAGAACTGGTACAGTTATGCTAATCTTTTGCATGTTTGCTTAAATTAGAACATTTCTAATCAAAGTATTTGTTTAAAACCCAGCATGAGCATGGCAACAGAATGTGGAGCTGTTGTCACATAAAGTAATTTTGCTTTGAACAAAGATTTTTCTTTAAATTGGATAGCCTGTGAGATTAAATAATGCAAGATTTATTATCATGATTAATTATTTAAGCACTGAAAGCATATGAGGTGTTGTATGTAAATATGTAAATGTAAACTTACTATTTAAGGCATTTTTTGTGCACAGTTAGACTACTGTGTCTGTGTGGAGCTCTCTTTAAGGCAGTGGTTCCCAACCTGTTCGTTACTGGGATCCAGCAAGCCCATTCACAAACTTTTGGTGGCCTGGTAACAATTATTTGAACATTTGCATATTCCCTATGCAAATGTTGAATATTCAAATATGCAAACAAAACGTTACCGGTCTGCCAAAAGCCTAGTCCCCAGAGCCCTCAGTGCCAGCCATAACCTCTAGAGCCCTCCACCTCTCCACTACCCCCCAGCACCAGCCCCTAACCCCTCCCAATGCCAGCCTTTTGCCCTCAGAGCTCCCCCAGTACCTGCTCCCCATCCCAAACACCTGTGCCAGCCCCCTGCCCTTTAGAGTCCCCCACTACCAGACCTCCCAATACCAGTCCCCTGTTTCCAGAGCCCTATTGCACCAAACCCCCCTGAGCCTTCCCCAATATCAGTCCCCAATATTAGCCCCATCCCCAGAGCCCCCACTGCTAGCTTAGCCTCCAAAGCCCCTGAGCACTAGCCCCACCGCGCTCATCTAGCCCTGCGCTGCTGCCCATGTCATGGCGGCTTTGGGGGCCGGGGCTGGGGTAAACTGCCCAGTGCCTCCCTTCCCACCACAGCTGTTGGGAGAGGCGTGTCCTGCCCCGTCTGTCAGCCAGCCAACACCGGGCAGGGGTGGGGTTTCCTCCGGCTGCAGAAAAGTGCTTCCCCATGAGGCAGGAGGGCTGCATGGCACCGGGTCTCCTACCAGAGCGCTTCCCTGTGCAATGGGAGGGCCACACGGAGCGGCTGTGTGCGGCCTTCCTGCAGCACAGGGAAGCACTCTTTTGCGGCTGGAAGAAGACCCTGCCCAGCACTGGTTGGCTGAGAGGCCTGGCAAGACACGACTCTTCCAACAGCCGCGCTGAGAGTGGTGTACCCTAGTCCTGGCCCCTATATCCACCACAGCCTGGCAGCCATAGGTCTGTGGCCTAGTGGTTGGGAACATTTGCTTTAAGGCATTGGGGCTGTGGAAAGACTCAACAGTTCACTCTCATGTAGAAAGTTACAAAATCAGAGTTATGTGGAATTAATTATACTATGATTTAGTTAAACTCCCATATAAGATTTTGAGATACAGGTATCTAAGCAGATATTCAATACAAATTGTTAAATAAATGGAAATTGTTTTACAGATGTTAAGGACTGGAAAGTTGAGTAATGCATTGTTTAAAAAAATAAAAAATACTTTCTATTATATTTTGCATTCTGCATTTAAAATTCTGATTCTTGATCTATCTTATTGGCTAATAGATATCTCATACAGTATATTTTTAAAAAGTCTTAGGTTTTTTTCTGACTCCTAATTCCACTTTTCTTACTACTTTTCCAAATATAATCTCTGAGGAGGTGATATGTGTGTGTTGCCAGCCCTAGTTAACATGTATACTCCACTACTGAATCACTCCACTTCTGAATCACTACTATTTTGGGTTTTTTTTTCCTAGTTCTCACATATTTTCTTAACAAAATCTTTAGGATATTGGGTGTCAGCTGAAAAGTGTATGGGGGAAAAGTAGGTATTATAGGTATTTGCACCAAAAGTATTTAATAAGATAGAAATCCTACAAAATCTTCCAGTACTGTACAGACTTTTCTACATTTCTAGTATTTCTTACTAAACTGTAAATGCTAGTAGCTGCATGGTGAAAGTATATGAATTGAATATTCTTGGAATAACTTTCAACCGTGAAGTAGTTAGTTGGGCTGTAGTTACTCTCTCATTAAATGAAGCATGTTTTCACCTTGTTTTGTAGTGTGTTTTGATGTGAAGATTTTACATTTCATTAGTTCACTTAATTGTTTTAAAATATCAAAGTTATTTTCAAAGACAAAATGTTATTTTATAAAATAAGACTTTTACAAGAACACTAAACCCAGTTTTTATTGTTGGGCAAGTGCTTTGAAAAAGTTACGCATTTTGATTATTATTGATAAATGTGGAGTTCTTTAGCTTCCTTTTAAATGTCAAAAACAGTTTCTGGCAAATACAGCTTCTTTTTAACAAAATCCCACATTTTATCTGTTCAAGAATAATAGTTTTAATATTACTGAAGTTGTGAATCATATGGTCTTTCCAGTGTGTATTGTTAAGTCAAGTAATAGTATTGTTAAACTTCTGAGACTGAGCTAATGAGGAAAATATTGTTTTGAAGGTACAGCAGGGCAGAACTGGAAATATGGAGAAAGAGATGGCCGTGCAATCAACCAAAGCTGAGTTTACATCTCCTCCCCCCCTGTTCAAATCAGGAATCCCGACAAACAGGTCAGTTGGACAGTCATAATTTCAGAATTTGTGGTAAAAGTTTTTTCTTTATAAAGGTTTTGATCTGCTCTAGCAGAGGTTGGCAGCCTATGGCACACGAGCCAGTTTTGAGTGGCATGCATGGTGGGAGCTCGGTTCCCGTCTCTCCCAGCAGTGGCTAGAGCCTTGCGGTCACTGCACAGCTGCAGGCTGGAGAACCAGCTCCGGCTTCCTGCTGGAAGGGTGGGGTGGGTCAGGAGCAGAGGGGGGGGGGTGGCCCAGGAAGCAAAGCAGGAGGCATGACCCTGCACGGGGCTCCGCGTCCCTGGGGCTGCCTCTGCCTAGCCTGGGCGTGCAGCTCCCAGGAGCTAAGGGTTTAATACCCCCTCTCCTCGCTACAGGCTCTGCTCCTTATTCTGGGAGGGGCTGGGGCTGGAGCTGCTCTGCAGATCCAGAGCTGCACGGCCGGTCACACGCTGCTGCCGCCTTCATGGGGTGCCAGAGCCCAGGCTGTGCTATGCAGCTACCCGCGGGGGGTGTGTGGCAGTAGAGAGCCCCTTCCTCAGCACCCTGCTGCACCTGGCCAGGCTGGAACCAGCCCCAAGCAGCCCTGGACTCTGCCTGCTCCAGTCCTGGAGCCATAGCTTACGGGTGAGGGGCGAGCCCTGGCTGAGGGCTGGGCCAGGCAGGGAAGTGACTCTGTTTCCCCCTCCCCTCTAGCTTCTCCTTGCCCCAGCACTGCTGCCCTTCCGGTGTGCACATTAGGTACACGGGGATGTGTAGTAATAGGGGGTAGGATGAGAGGGGTCAGGGGTTTTACTGAGGGGAATGGGGCGATGGAGGAGATCAAGCTGCGGGGGAGATCATGGGGCTGAGGGGAGCGAGGCTGGAGTAGAGGAAAGATGTGAGGGGGGGTTACAATTTTACTTTGCAGAAGCTGCACTTTCCTTTACTTCCCACTTCTTTGCCTCCCTCCCCAACTAGCTATTTGGCTGCATTCTCACCCTCGCGCATTTTTTGCATTACTCCCCCAACCTCTTCCTGCCCCCAAACTCTCTCTCGTATCCCCGCCCCAAACCCTCTCCTGCTGCCAAATTCTCTTCCAGACCCTGCCTTCCTAACCACCTCTGGCCCAGATCCAGCACCCCTACCCCACTGTCAGCCTTGTCCTGTACATTGAACCCCTCATTTTTGTCCCCACTCCAGAGCCTAAGGAGGTCCACAAAAATTCACTAATTCTGGAACCCCAGAAAAAGTACATCTGGCCTATGGGAAGCCCTAAACCTCAGTCCTCCCTGTCCCTTCCCCTCATCTCGTGGGGCTGGAGAGCCAGAAGAATGAGGTGTCTCAGTTGGGGGCCACATCAGCTGGGGGTTTTTGGAGGTGGTTTTTTTTTGTTGTTGTTTGTTTGTTTGGGGTTTTTTTCTGCTTCTCACTTGTGTGGTCTCCAACTGATTTTTCTGTGGGTCAGTGGCCCCTGCCCCTGCCATAAACAAAGACAACATTGAAACCTTTTGTGTTGGACATAAATTAATATTTATTTTAAGTGAAGTTTGATAAAGTAGCATAAAGTGAAAACGCTTATTCTGTTTAATAATTTAAATTAAACCGTTCTCCCTAGCTGCAGCTGGTTCAGAAAATATGGTCATTGTACCTAGCCTGCCCCAGCCTACCCCTATCCTCTCCATCCTCCAGTATGCATATCCGTAAATAGAAGTGAATAAATTAAATCTTGGCATGCCACTTCTGAAAGGTTGCCTCGACCTCTGTTCTATGGGAACCAAAATAAATAAATAAATTACTAGTTATAAATATGAGAGGAAGCATGATGTTTCTTAGTTTCAGTTTGTAACATAAGAACAGTCATACTGGGTCAGAGCAATGGTACATCTAGCCTAGTATCATGTCTGCCAAAAGTTGCCAATATCAGATGCCCTAGAGGGAGGAACACAACATATAATCCTCATGTGGTCCCTCTTCTGTCACGCATTTTCAGAAAAATAGAGGCTAGGGACACCATTCCTTCCCATCCTGGCTAATAACCATGATGGACTTAACCTCCATGAATCTATCTAGCTCTTGTTTTAACCCAGTTAAAGTCCTAGCCTTCACCACATCCTCTGGCAAGGAGTTCCAGAGGTTGACTGTGCACTGAATGAAGAAAAAATTCCATTTGTTTCATTTGGTGATCCCTAATTCTTATATTGTGAGAATAAGTAAATAATTTTTCCTTATTGACTTTTTCCACACCAGTCATGCTTTTATAGAACTCTTATCATACCCCCCTCACCAGTCGCCTCTTTTCTAAGCTAAAAAGTCCAAGTCTTTTTAATCTCTTTTCATATGGGACCCATTCCAAACCCCTAATCATTTTTGTTGCCTTTTTCTGAACCTTTTCCAATACCAGTATATCTTTTTGAGATGAGGCGACCACATCTGAACGCAGTATTCAAGATGTGAGCATACCATGTTTTTATATAGAGGCAATAAGATATTTTCTGTCTTATTCTCTATCCGTTTTTAAATGATTCCTGACATTCTATTTGCTTTTTTGACTGCCGCTGCATTCTGAGTGGATGTTTTCAGAGAACTATCCACAGTGATGCCTCTTTCTTGAGTAGTTGTAGCCACATTAGTCCCCATCATATTGTATGCATAGTTTAGATTATTTTTTCCAATGTGCATTACTTTATATTTATCAACATTAAATTTAATTTACCATTTTGTTGCCCAATCACGTAGGCTCCGTCTAAACTACACCCCTCTGTCAGCAGAGGGATATAAATGAAGCACTTCGAAAGTGCAAACGAAGCGAGGATTTAAATATCTCATGATTCCTTTGCATAATCGCGTCATGGCTCTGTTTCGAACAAATGCCATTTCGAAACTGAAATCGCAGTTTAGATGTGTTATTTTTTTTTCCCGACAACGGGGCGCCTTTTTGAAAGATCCTGTACTCCTGGATTTTTTTCGACAACGGCGCCTTTTCAAAAGCTCAGAGTATAGGATCTTTCAAAAAGCATTACCCTATCGTGTCCTGGAGCCAGTGTCCTGTACCTGCTGCTGCTCCTGGAGCATGGCTGCACCGCTCCCCAGCCACGGCATCTCCTGTCCAGGATCATACAGTCCTGTTGGGCCAGTGCAGCTACACTGCAGGAGGAGCTGCAGATGCAGGGCTATTGGCTACCGTGGCTCTTGGGAGTAGAGAGAGCCCTGTTGATCATGATGTGTATCTGTGAATATCAACATCCGCATATAGACATTTCTGTTCTTGCAGGGCACTACAACTCAGGGTTCCTGGTATCAAATCCGCTGTAAAGTATCTCTTGCTTTCTTATATTTTGTTTACATGTGAGCATACTTTTCTTAAAAATGCAGGAAATAACTTCATGACTGTAGTATTACTCCACACCTCCCAGGCTTTAATACGTACAGTTTGGGTTCTGCTCTCTTCAGCTGTGAGCTTTACTGTGTTTGTGATTATGAATTTGGTTCTATTTGGATTTCATGCCTCTTCTTTGTTCTAGTTATCAAATAGTCCTGAAGAGCAATTCTACTGGCAACTCAAAAAACCTGAAGGCATTTTATCACCATATTGTAGACATTAGAGATGATTGCAGGGGAAATGTGTTTCTATGCCTTCCCACTTTTCCCCAGTTTAAGGTTTTTTTCTATTCATTTTTAGTACAATGTCAGGAGTAATTTTCAATATCCCCAAGAAAGGAGTTTTTATCACTTATTTGAAAAATGTGTTTAACAGGCAAATAAATCTCTCTTTAGAGAATTACCTGTTTGATATTCAGCTGAAATGTTCCCTTTCTCTTGCTCAGAATTATACACCATTGTACTAAATTAAATAGGTCTCTGTGCTTGGGGCCCATACTGTTGAGGTGTTGGTAAGTTATTTTCAAGCCCCTCCACCATCCTTTCCTTCAGGGGTTAGGAATCTTTTGGGTTGGAGGCTGCTGACTCTCAGAAAAATCAGTGGGTGATGCACACAAGTGAGAAACACACCAAAAAAACCCCCCAAAACAAACAAACAAAAAAACCCCTTAGTGACATGGTCCCTGCCTGAGAGAAAGACATTCTCTGCATTCTCATACACACCAGAGCCCAAAGGGGCCCAGACTAGTAGATTTTGTATGTCCTAGCCCCGTGGGGGGTGGGGTGGAGCAGGGCTAGAGTGTCAGCAGAGGCTCCCCAATGCTGAGAGGGGAGCCCCCTCAGGGTCTGAATCCAGACGAACCCGGGGCCAGTTCCCTACCCTTGCTTTACTTGTACTACAAAACAGTATAATTTTTAAACTTCCCTCATTTTTATATCCTTCCAGTCCCTGATAAATGTTATTTCTCTCCTGAATTACCTCTTGTTTGTCTTTTAGTAATGAAATTTCCATACGAAACGTAGTATTTCATGTGTGATTGCTTTGGTACTCTGTAGAGTGCCATTGTTGTTCCATGACACCTTTGTGTAACACAGCCTACTATTGCATTGGTATTTTAAATACTTTAAATAGTACTAATGAACTGCTATGAAATTAGGGTTTTAAATAATATCCATTCAGCTTTAAATATGTGAAAAACATTGGATGGCATATTCTATGCATGTGTTTGATATGAGTGTGCAGTTTTAGTTTATTAAACACGGTGTGTGTGTGTGTGTGTGTCACTGAGTGTGTGTGTGTTGAGATTTAATTTGTTATTTTGTAAGGAAAATCTCTGTGGCATGCTGCAGATAGGGGGGAAAAATCATGCCAAGCCTCTTACCTTTCCTGGTATTCCTTTGCCTCCTTCCATTTCCCCTCACATCCCTTATCTTTGAGTTTCAGCTTGCAGTTACCATAGTCTGATTTTTTTTTAACTAGTCCTAAAGTCAGTAAACATTTTTTTATTTATTAGAGAAGGTTATTCTTGAGCAATTGAAGGTGCACTCCTCTTAAAAGAGTTGAGTTTACTCTCTTTCTAGGTCTTCCACTTTTGATAGCTTTCCGAGTAGAGACTAGAAATGAAACCTGGTTCTCTTGCATGGCAACACAAATCATCATGCCAACATTTATATTTCCCCAGCAGTACATGTTTAGAATAGGTGTATACATTGTGTGTGTCTGTGTTTATATGTAGACTGCTTAAATCATTGTGTTGCATGTCCTGCCAATGGCAAGGCTGACTTTTTAGTATTTGATGTCTACTGTTTAAGGGTACACTGAATCATAAATTGCCATGCCAGAAACACCATTTCTTATAACTAGTCAGATGAGACTTTGAAAGCAACTTTTTTTTTATAAATTACTATAAACTACTTAGTTTTGGATCACTTGCATGTTTCTCCTTAAAACATTTTTGGTAGAATGCAGTAGCAGTGGAACATATCTCAGCACCATCACCCTTGCCTGTGCCTTGTTACATAGGAAGGTTACTCTGATTGTTGGGGTTTTTTAACTTCAAGTTAGTATATTAGTTTTTCCAAAGGTTTTTTTTTAACTATTTTAAATGCTATTATACCTTAGAATAAGAGAATTTTAGCTAGGTATGGATCATTTCATGTAGTAGGATTGCACTGCAATCCCAATTTGATGTCACTTGGTAAAAATTCCCAATGTAGTATGAGGCTCTAGCAGTAGTGTTGTTGTTAAATTTTCTAGTTAAGCTTCTTAACTTATATAATAATTCCTGCTACCTTTTATCTGTAGATGATATGTGGGGTGGGGGAAGATGGGAATAGGGAAAAGAAGAGGGGCTCAAAGAACAGAGAAGATAGAGACACAAGAAAAGAAAGACCTAGAAAATTTATCTCACCAGAAACAGCGCCTCTTCTCAGTCACAGACAAGCACTGCTTCCAGAAAAGCTAGTTCAGGCATCGGGAAGTGGCAGGAGCGCTATGGGAGGGTCGAATCACCTAAACTAAGGTAAGAAAAAAAAATTAGGGCACAATCATTTTAATTGCTCTCTTCCCCATTCTCCCCATTTTTTGTCATTGGTGGGACATTGTCCCACTTTGACAGTTTTTTGGAAATCTAGTCTTGGCTGTTATTTGGTTTACTGGATATACTTTTATGCCTAGATATTGCAGCACATATTTTCCCTTATTTGGGAATCTGAGAACAGGTGGTGGTTTTACTACATTATATGTGTGAGAAGCAAATATTGAAAAGCATTTTATTTTAAAAATATTTTTCCTCTAATTTTTGAATTTAGAGCCTATTAATTGCTTCCATTTAACGACTTATCAGTTGGAAAACTCTAATATCTAAATAGCTTTTCCTCTGGTGTATATATCAGTAATCATCAGCAGCCATGAACATGGAAGCTGTATAATGGAAGAGTTCCATTTGATCGCCTATCTTTAGTGATAGCTCATAGGGGTGTTAAAATGCGGTTAATTTACTAATCGAGTAGTTGATAGAATTTTTATCGACTACTCTGAGTCAATAGAGGAATGTAGTCCAGCTCATGCCAGGTCTGGGATCAAATCCTGCTGCGGCTCTACAATTTAGAATGTAGTAGAAGAGGCAACGGCGTGGGGGGGAGGGCAGGTGGCACAGCGGAGATGGCACTGGGAGCAACTGGCTTTTAAGCCTAGGCTTATTGGTTAGTCAACTACTTGCTTACATCCCTAATAGCTCATCTATTTATAGCTCAGTTCTTAGCTCTATTTAGAAACTGTAGTATAAATATAATTATGAAAAAAATTAAACTTTATTTAATAATCTAGTGATATGTAATGCTGAAAGAACTACAAATCAGTAGAGATCATCTAGTACCGTGGTCCCCAACCCGGTGTCCGCGGGCGCCATGACGCCTGCCGGGCCTTTTACGTGCGCCCGCGGAGCAATCTGGGTTGGCTCCACCCATGGGCGTGCAGCAGGTGCCAGCCCTGGGCGCATGGCCAGCCCCGGCCCTGGGTGCGCCGCGCGTGCCGGTGCCGACCCTGACCCCCGCCCCTGGGTGCGCCGCGCGTGCCCTGGCCCTGGCCCCGGCCCCCGCACCTTTGATGTCGACCCCCGCGCGTCCAGACTACCACGCCCTGGCGCCGGCCTTGGCCCCGTCCCCAGGGGCACCGCGCCAGCCCTGGCCCCGGCCCCAGCCCCGGCGGCGCCGCGCAGAACCTGGGCAGCCCCTGCCCAGGATCGCAGCACATGCCGGTGCCAACCTCGGGCGTGCGGCGCATGCTTGGCCCCGCCCCCAGTCACGTGGCCTGTGAGCGGCCCCGCCCCCGTACGCGCAGCGCGTGAGCGGCCCCGTCACCAGGCGCCCGACAGCCCCAAAACGTTGGGGACCACTGATCTAGTAAATGTCTAATTAATAACATTTACTTAGAACTTTGAACATGTTAACAGAAACAAATAATTATAGGGTGAGTCTCTTTCTGTCACTGGCCTGGCTGCATTATTGTCCCACACCAGAGATGTCAGGCCTTTGTCTTTACCATTCCTGTGGTGGAATTCTGCGGTTTGTCCACTGTCACACCAGGACCTGAGTTTCAATCCCTTGGGTATCAACCATAATTAATGAGCTATGATCCCTCAAGAGTTTCTCTTTAGAACCTGTGACAACATATGATCGCAATGACAAAGAATCAGCTTCTTCAAAACAAAACATGATTTATTTTGTCCAAAGGGCACACAGTGTTTAGATTAGTAGATATAAAATAAGAGACCTTAAATACATATTCTCTTGCAGAAGTTTTATCTCTATCTATAGCTCAAGTGGGCCTGGCTTATTTCCCATCTCTTAGTTGGGAGAACTAGCCTACACTGCTCATAGCCTTATTCCTTTGTCTCTGAGTACATTCTCCTATTAGCATTTTTTTTCCACTCACAGCACCCAAGGCTAGTTCATCCCAAAAACCAGTTCAAGTCAGTCTCTTGATCTCAGTGATAGAAAGTGAAACATTCTAGTCTGGATGGTGCCAGCTAAGTAAGTGCTCCCTCAATTGATAGCCCAGCCACAGTGCACTTAGCTGCTTTGAAGGCGTATACCTGAAGTTAAATTATATCTGACATTGTTTTACTTTTCCTGCTCAGTACTGTAGAAGCCGCTTTACGGGCTCATTTGATTTAGCTTTCTGCAGTCAGTCGGGCACCAATATAAAATTGAATGGGGAAACTATTTTACTTATATTAATAAAAATATTTCCCATTTTTCTGCATTTCCTATATTTTCCCAGTTTTTCCACACTAATTATTTTCATATAGACTTTCACAACAATGTGAAAGACCCTCTTTGAACATATTAGTAGTTAGATTGTGAACAGATTGAACATTTATTAAGTTTATTTCAGACTAGCTTAACAGTCTGATCACAAAAACTTTAGGTCTTAGTAGACTATTCTGTTCTAAGATCATAATGATACATTTATAAAAATGGTATTTTTCAAACACGCTAGGTGTGAACGTGAACAGTGATGTGCAACATTTCTTGCATCTAAATAGCAAATGGTAGAACACATTTTTAGCAATATATAGTATAACTAACTCTCCGTAACTTTATTAGTAGTATTTTTATATTGTTTCCCTTGTCTGCTTTGTAAATTTTACTGTTTTATGTTTCTAATGGGTATTTCAATAAGGAGAAAAATGACTTCTTTCTTTGACATTCATGTTCTCAGTTCCATGTGGTTTAAAGAAAAAAAGCAATGAAGTACTATAAAATATTAGTCTGTGATCGTTCATAGATAAAAAGTTAAAAAGCACAAACTCGCTGAATCAGCAAGATTAACGAGTGAATTATCAACTAGAGTTAATTATACTGAAGTATGTCTGTTCAGTAAATGTACAGAATTGAACCTGGATTACTTGGTTACATTTGTTTGCTTACTTTTGCTCAACAATTAATAGCAAATAAAACTCAACAAATCCCCAGTCCTCGTAAAGAGATACAACGTATATATAGAGATTGTATAAAAAGAGACAAATGAAAGTATTACTTTATTAGTTAATAGTTTCTAAAACACTTTGAAGATGAAGAGCAAAACATAAATGTAAAGTTAGTACTGAGTAGCTTAGTCAATAATTGGTATCTTTCAGATTTTATGAGCTTATACATTTGGAAAAAGTTAAGTTTCTGTTAAAACGCATTGCATTGTTTGTAGTCTTATGTCTGATGAAGTTATGAAGCAGTTTATAACAGCTATGAATTTCTTAATAGTTCCATTTATATTTTTCTTCCTTTTTATAAAACTAAACAAATTCAGTGTGTCATGAGACTCTTTGAACTAGTTTTCCTTGAAGAAAAGTGATAGTGTGATTTGAATAGTTTATAAATAACCTTTCTGTGCTTCAAATGAAGCCATTTATTATTTCTGGATCATCATTCTTTTTCAAGTTCATGTAGATAATACTTCTGGTGTGCATGTGCCCATGTCCGCAAGAATAGATACTTCTTGGCATCCAGAGTCCTTTTGGGCAATGCCTACGCCCTAATTGACTTTGGAGCATAAAGTGTGCAGCAAGCACAACTGTCCCTCAATTCTATCTTACTGCCCATGGAAGCAAGATGGAGCATCTGATTATAGTGTGATCTTGTTGAGCTAGTTAGTAGTCTGGCACCCTCGGGACCTGACTGGTCCCAAACGAGGGGATTTGTTGGACCAGGGAAGATCCTTCCCATCATGGCTCATGCTTTCCTGCTGCCCTCAGCTAGAGCTCCAGCTTAGCCCTGCTACTTTCTGCCTGGTTGTGGCTGGGGCTCTGGCTGCCACTGTCGGAGCTCCGTGGCAGCGGCTACTGTACTGGAGCTCTGCGGCAGTGGCTGAGGTCCCGGAGCTCCGTGGCAGCTGCTGCTGGGTCCTCACTACCACCTAGCCGCAGGGACCAGAGCTAGCTGCTGCACCACCCACTCCTCCACACTGCTGGCGTACAATAAACCAATTTTATATGCATAGGAAATATGCTCTCCAGAAAAGGAATTCATGTAGATAATATATCTCAAAGAATTCCAGTTACTGTAAAGTAAGTAATTGGTAGAGAGCTATTCTCTGCTTGTTTTTCAGGAAGTAGACAATAAAATGTTTCAGAAAGGAAGGATTTTGAACTGTTCAATCTGTATTAAAGAATTCTGTCAAGTAATACTTCTTGCAGCTTCCTTTATATTAGTTACACCTCACTCCTACAGAAAACAGACAAAGTTAACTCAATGGAGAAAAGGCATAGAAAGTAAACAAAGTGCATGAACCTTCATATCACTCTTTCAGTATCTGGGAGTCTATAGTAGATTACTTAGACTGTGATTGTCTGTGTAAAGGAGGTGATCTGCAGATCCACTCTCTGGTTAATTTATTTTTGTCAGGACGCTGTCCCAGAAACACCCTGTGCATTAACATTACTAGAATGTGGCATTATTTGCCAGCACTAATCTTGCCAGATGTTCATTGTAAACTGCTATATCATGGACTTGTTTTGTCCTTTCACTACTGGGTCTTGAATAACATGTAAAGATTTTAATTGTGTGAGTTTCAGCATAGTGTCTGTATGCCAATTGACTACTAATTGGGCCAATCTGCTTCCAAACTCTGCTTCCCAAATTTGCTTTTAACATATAGGTGATTTAATTGTAAAATCTAGGAGCATACTTTAAATAGTCAGAACCTCTGAATGTTTTTAGCTGTTAATCCATATTTTCATTTTTTGGATTTAAGGATTGGTGTAGTCCAAGACCTTTCATCAGATTATCTAGTTTAATTGTGAACACTGGTAGATATTACTGTCTCTCTCTTGATCACCTCCTTTTTTCCTTATGTGCACATGTACATAGTGCACAAATAGATCTCTGCTTTTGTTTAGGCACAATATGTATGCTATACTTTATATTCATACAGCATTCACCATTTGTATTTTGCTCTTTACCCCCTTTTAGGAATTGTGTGTGTAACACTGAAGTGATATATTATTTGTTCTTTTGCCTTAGAAAATCAGCAGATAACTTCTGTATGTGACGTGAAGTTTCTCTGTTGACTGCATTTTCAGACCTGAATAGCCAGGTCCTCCATTCTTTTCACACTACCTTTGTTGCAATCTCCTGTACCTGCTTTGACCAATGTCACTAAAAATATTCATATCCTGTTGATATGTTTTATTATGTAGTTTGGTAGCTTTGTGACATACCTTGCAGTGTGCTGTATGTATGTAATGCTTGATTTTCACCTATGATGGTATGTTCTCATCCATTTGATTTAATTTATGTAAGATGAAAAGCTTAGCTTTTGGTAAATGCATGTAATTTCCTCTCTTTCAGTCTGTGATTTTTCTGCCATATAAAATTTAACAAATTACTTAGTTCCAAAAGTTAATTTTGGGGATGGCTAGAAGGAATACAGGTTGAACCTCTGTAAACTGGTACTCCCTGATCTGGGAACATCCATGGTCCGGCAAGAGCACGGAAGTTTTAGGACTATAAAGGGCTTGCAGGGCTGAAGGCTGCCGGCAGCAAACTGCGGGCAGGATCCGGGGCCTGGCGCACCTTAACGAGGTTTCCCAGCGAGGCTGCTGGTTGGGACCTGGAGCCTCGTGCTCCCAGTGGCTCCGGGATACTGGAGCACCACAGCAGGGCAGGCATGGGTGCGAGCAAGGATTGGCAGGGGGGTGGTACCTGCAGCACGGTGGGGGTGGGGAGAGCTGGCTGGCAGCTGCTTCAGGACTGGGGCGTGGCCAGTAGCAGGGGGGCCAGATATGACCTCCATTGGTCCAACCAGGGGCTGGTCAGGTCCCGAGGGTGCTGGACCAAGGAGGTCCATCCTGTAATAGTTAATAACTTTATCCCCAAACTGTGACGCTGAGATCTTAGTAATAGTCATTTTTCTTAATAGGCCTTAAGAGTAGGGATGTGAATGAGTAGTCAAGTAGACAATTATCCAATAAGCCTAGACTTATCAGTTAACCTTCTCAACTACTTGCATTCCCTTCCTCCTCGCTGCCTGTGTGTCAGAGGCAGCAGGGGGGGGGGAACAGTAGCCAGTGCTGGGGGGAGTTGGCTTAAAAGCTGGTTCCCCCCAGCACCAGCTCTGCGGAACTGCCCGCTTCCCCACCATTGTGCTGCTGCCTCTGGATGATATGGGGAGGGGGACACTCAGAAGTCAGTACGTGCAGGAAGCTGCCTTTCAAGCCAGCTCCCCATGTGTATTGTCTCATGCAGAGCTGCTTCTCCCAGGAGGGGGAGACAATATGTGTGGAGAGCTGGCTCAGCGGAGTGGCCTGCCTTTCCCCTTGCAGCAGCCCACAGAGACAGTGAGGAGGGGGCCATCTTCCCCCGAGCAGCGGCACCATGGAGTAGTTTTTGTCTGCAGTGAGCTTCAACCTGCCATGGACAGCAGCTATTGCTGCCCTGCGCTGCTGCCTCTGTATCAGATACTGCTGCTCAGGTTGGCGAGGTGGGGCTGGGAGACTATTGAATAATTGTGTAACCACAAAGTTCTGATGTGGTTTCATGATTTACTCAATCAATATCTAACATCCCTACTTTATTAGTAGCTGGATCCTTAACTAGTTACAGAGAATTGTCTACATATACAGGTTGGACCTCCCTGATCCAGCACCCTCAAGACCTGACTGGTCTCAGATAAGGGACTTTTCCGGCCCAGGTCATTTCAGGCCTCCTTCTGCTGACCCCCTCTGCTGCCCTCTTCTCGTGCTTTCTGGCTCCCCCTGCAGGCCAGATGAGCCACGTGCTGGCTCCATACACTCCCTCTGCACCCCTTCTCCCTGCCCCTCCTTCCCTCGTTCCCCTCCCCCCCCGCAGCCCAGCTGTGCCATGTGTCGGCTCCTGGGCCCCCTCTCCCTCTTGCAGTGTGCCAGAACTCTCTGATCCTGGAACATCTGTGGTCTTGCCGGACCAGAGAATCCTGGATTTTAGAGGTGCGTCCAGTAGTATACACTTAGATTTGATTTCCATGATTTGATTCCTTATGATACGCTTTTTCCCCTTATTACTGTCATCAAAGATTTTAATACCAAAAGATGAGAAACCAGAGAAAAGAGACCGCCTCATCTACTTGTTGTTTCCAGTTCATAGAATACATGCACATTTTGTTTGGAGTAAAATAAGAGAAACATATTTGAAGACAAAAGAATCAAGCTGTTCTACACACTTTCATGAAGTGGAAGAGAGAGAGAGAGAGACTAAGACACTTGCTACAGTAGGGAAGAGAAGAAAAATGGGTACCCAGACCCTTTGGACTCCTGCTTCTAAGATGAAAAAATGTCAGCATTTCAACGGACTGGAATTGCTATGTTCTGTTAGTTTACCTCTTTTAAATGTGTTAATGGAAAATCTTGTCTTTCTCCTACCTCAGGACTAGTATCCTTTAGTTTTAGACGTTCTCTCAAAAATGCAGACCTTTGGGAATTACTTGAAGCTTAATGAAAATGAGTAGTCCAAGTTTCATGAGGGCCATTACCCCTCTCCTATGTTATCTGGGCAGTATAACTTGAGAACATTTTTAAATGTCTCAAATTTGAAAGAGTATAGTGAAATATATCTGAGGAAGGAGTTCAAAGGGAGGTGAGTATTAGTTCATTGCCGAAGACTGATGAGTTATCTTCATGAGACGATGAAGAAAAGTCTTTGCTGGCACAACTTGCATGTTTTATTAATAATTTGTATGTATAGGTTGAGTTTCATGTGAGGATATCAAAGAATATTATAAAGACTGAATCTTTATAAGTATTTTAAGTAGTTGGGGAACATATGTAGGACACTTGAAGTATGGCAGCCTTTGTAGTGACATGGGAAAACTGTTACTGGCACAGAACAATAGCACGTGACAGCTTAGAACTGGAAGTGAAGCCAAGTGAAATTTCAGGAGGAGTTAGGTAGTCAGGATGCAGTACTAGAGCTAGAATTTGCTTAGGGTACCAAGATTTAATAACGCCTGCGCTAATAAAAATGCCACAGATTCTTTAACAAACACTTCTTTTTTCCTGTTACATTGCGTTTAAAAAAGTATGGTTTTTCAAACTTATTTATACATGACCTTTGTGCTGATATCTAATATGCATAGAAAATTTGTCAGTGGCATTCTGAAATTTATTGCCTTGTCTGTACTTAAATATCTGATTGTGATCCATTCCTCCATAATAAGGAGGAGGATGATTGTGGTAGGGTGAGAGGTCTTCAGTAACGAAGTGACAAAAAAAATAATCAGAAAATCTTTAATTATCCCGAGTATATGTAGAATAGAACTTCTGAACTTGTGGTTTAAGACCTGCTGGTGGATTATGAGGTGACCACTAGGTCGTACCTTTTGAGATTGAAATGGGTGGAAAAAGCAGAGTCCCTTGGATACTAGGCTCCATCAGGAGTAAATGAAGTTGATGGTAGGAAAAACACTGTTCCTGTTTCCTCCAACTACTCTTTCTATGGAAACTGCCATTCCATTCCACACCTTTGTCTTCCTTTCAGCAGTACTTACACTTGTTCTTCCACCACTTGTAGACAAAACCAGTTATGGATCTATGATCTGAATAAGTCCTTTGAATAATAAAGGTTTGTCATTTGGGCAGTAAACTACAAATGGATTTTGGATAGTGGATGAGAAAAAGGTTGAGAAACACTGTTGTTATTTCTACCAAACACAAAAATTAAAGTTTGGAGACAGGCTTGAGTTGAACTTTATCCTACTATTAATTACTTTGTTAATAAAGGCAAACTCAGGAAGGAGCTACGTGTTTGCCTCTACTTTGTTTTTAGAGTAGTTAGGGAAAGGCAGCTCTTCACATTTCTACTTTTTGGGAAACTGGGGTACCAAAGGAGAAGTGGCTTGTCTAAGAGGTCTGCCTGAAACTCAGAAGCCAATCATTCCCAAGAACAGAATCAAGGACTCATGGCTTCTTGTACCCTTTTGCATTTGACAATACCCAGTAGATGGCATGTTGCTGTGTGTAGATAAGTGTTTCTTAAACATTTTAAGACCGAGGAACACCAAAGGATAATTTTTTTTTATGGGGAACACTGACGATTTTTTTGTTGGGGGGGGAAGCCCCCAGGGAACAGTTGTTGAACCAAAGAAAAAGGGGAGGGGGGAGCCTTGTCCCTTTAAGGATGGCCATTTTGAATTCTGTTCTCTCTGCGACACACCTCCGACTGTGCTGCGGAACACACTTTAAGAAACACTGGTCTAGATGTTGCAGAAGCCCAAGGCTAATAGGTGATTTAATGTAATATGTGCTGCAATACCTACAATATGCACAGTAGGTCTGGCTAACAGTTTTTATCAGTGCCTCATTATTTACCTTGTCTTTCTCTCCACTTTCCATGGACCGTTACAGCTATCATTTCTGTGTTTTATTTTATTGCTTTTGATAAGTTTTGTAGAATTTCTTTTAGAATGCTCTTTTCTTGTTACATGGTACTAGTATTCTTTCACTGCAATATTGCTGATCTTTCTTTTACTAGTTACAGAAACATATAGCAGTTTACTGAGGGAGGTGGGAGTTGAGTGTGGAAACATTCACTCTTGAATCTTGGGAATGCTATACTGCTCCTTTCCTTAATTCTAAAAAAAACAAAAAAGCTAAGGTTGTAAGATTCAGTAAAGAAAAAAAAGTGTGTTTTTTAACACCTAGGATTCTGCAGAAACCTTACACGTCTTGTACATTGCTGTGGTACAGCAGAAGGAGCTTATAGTCTTAAATTGATTCATATTATTTGCCTTGCCTGTTTAATTGACTTGCTCTAAGTTTTGGAAAAGTCCTTGAGTAGTACTTTTTGGTTATTCCATTTTGTCCTGTGTTACAGGAGATTGTCTGGCACAATAGATGTGATTGGGCAGACCATAACTATCAGCAGAGTGGAAGGAAGGCGGCGTGCCAATGAAAATAGCAACATACAGGTTTTGTATTGCAGATTTACACATGTTCTATCAATGACTGAAGAGGGGCTTTTTTTGTTTTCACCTTATCCAAATGAATAAATTCTAAACTGCATGGATAAACAATAGTGCAGTGGTCCCCAACATGGTACCCGTGGGCGCCATGGCTCCTCCCTCCACGCCATTTCTGTGCGCCCGCCGAGTGATCGGGGTCAGCCCCAGGCACGTGGTGCATGGGCGGTGCCGGCCCCTGGGTGCGCAGCGTATGGGTGGCCCTGCCCCTGGGTGCACGGCGCAAGGGCTGTGCCGGCCTCTGGGCACACGATACATGGTCTGTGCCAGCCCCGGGCGCGTGGCGTATGAGCGTCTCCACCCCTGGGCAGCATGGGCTGCTAGCTCCTGGGCGTGCCGCACCCCATGGGTGGCTCTGGCACCGAGCACAAGACGTATGGGCAGCCCCGACCCCTGGGCGTGTGGCGTATAGGCTGTCCTAGCCCTTGTGCGCGCAGCGTTTGGGCGGCCCTGTCCCCGGGTGCACAGAGCAAGAGTTGTGCCGGCACCGGGCACGCGGCATATGGGTGATGCCTGCCCTCGGGTGCGTGGCACAGGCATGGTGCCGGTCCCTGGGTGCACGGCGCCGGCACCAGGTACGCGGCACAGAGACGGCGCCAGCCCCGGGTGCGCAGCACATGGGCGGCCTCAGGCGCGTGACGCATGAGCTGTGCCAGCCCCGGGCACATGGCGTATGGGCATCCCCGCCCCTGGGCATGCAGCGCAGGAGCGGCGCTGGCCCCAGGCACGCAGCGCGTGGGTGATGCCGGCTCCTGGGCGTGCGGCACAGGAGCAGTGCCGGCCCCGGTAGTGCAGCGTATGGGTGGCACCGGCACTGGGCACGCAGCGTATGGGTGGCTGCGCCCAGCAGCCCCAAATTGTTGGGGACCACTGCAGTAGTGCATAAGAACAGCCATACTGGGTCAGACAAAAGGTCCATCTAGCCCAGCATCCAGTCCTCTGACATCAGCCAACACCAGATGCCCCAGAGGGAGTGAACAGAACAGGGACTCATCAAGCAGTCTCCCTCCCATCACCTATTCCCAGCCTCTGACAGAGACTAGGGACACCATTCCAACCCATCCTGGCAAATAGCCATTGGTGGTCCTAGCCTCCATGAATTTCTGTAGTTCTTTCTTCAAACCTGATAAAGTCCTGATCTTCGCAACCTTCTTTGGCAAGGAGTTTCACAAGCCGACTGTGCACTCTGTGAAGAAAAACTTCCTTTTGTTTGTGTTAAGCTTGCTACCCATTAAGTTCATTTGGTGACCCCTAGTTCTTATGTTATGGGAACAAGTAAATAACTTTTCCTTATTGACTTTTTCCACGCTGGTCATGATTTAATAGACCTCTATCATATCCCCCCCTTAGTCTCCTCTTTTCTAAGCTGAAAAGTCCCGTCTTTTTTTATCTCTTTTCATATGGGACCCTTTCCTAACCACTAATCAATTTAGTTGCCGTTTTCTGAACCTTTTCCAATGCCAATATATCTTCTTTCAAATGAGGCAAAACCACATCTGTATGCAGTATTCAAGATGTAGATATACCATGGTTTTCTATAGAAGCAATAAAATGTTCTCTGTCTTATTAATAAGATGTTCTCTGTCCCTTTTTTCATGATTCCTAACATTGTTTGCTTTTTAGACTGCTGCTGCACATTGAATGGATGTTTTCAGAGAACTATCCACAGTGACTCTAAGATCTCTCTTGCATAGTTATTGCTAAATTAGTCCCCATCATATTGTATATATAGTTGGGATTATTTTTTCCAGTGTGCATTACTTTATTTCATTTGCCACTTATTTTGGTGAGATCTTTTTGAAGCTCTTCGTAGTCTGCTTTGGTCTTAACTATCTAGAGCAGTTTGGCATCATCTGCAAATTTTGCCACCTCACTATTTATCCCTTTCTTCAGATCATTTATAAATACATTGAATAGGATTGGTCCCAGTATGGACCCTTGGGGGACCCCACTAGTTACCTCTCTCCTCTCTGAAAACTTACCATTTATTTCTACCCTTTGTTTTCTGTCTTTTAACCAGTTATCAGTCTATGAGAGGACCTTCCGTTTTATCCCATGATTACTTACTTTACTTAACAGGCTTTGATAAGGGGCTTTGTCAAAGTTGTTCTGGAAATCTAAGTACACTATATCTACTGGATCCCCTTTGTCCGCATGTTTGTTGACCCCCTCAAAAAACTCTATTAGATTAGTACGGCACGATTTCCCTTTACAGAAACCATATTGACTTTCTCCCCAACAAATTCATCTATGTGTCTGACAATATTATTCTTTACTATGGTTTCATTTAATTTGCCCGGTACTGATGCTAGGCTAACCCGTCTGTAATTGCCATGATCACCTCTAGAACCCTTTTAAAATATTGGTGTCTCATTAGATATCTTCCAGTCATTAAGTACAGACCCTGATTTAAAGGATAGGTAACAAGCCACAGTTAATAGTTCCGCAATTTCATATCTGAGTTCTTTCAGAATTCTTGGGTGAATGCCATCTAGTCCCGGTGACTTATTACTGTTAAGTTTATCAGTTTGTTCCAAAACCTCCTGTAATGACACCTCAGTCTGGGACAGTTCCTCAGATTTGTTACCTAAAAAAATGGTTCAGGTTTGGGAATCTCCCTAACATCATCTGCTGTGAAGACCAAAGCAAAGAATTTATTTTGTGTTCTTCTAGTGTTTGTGTGTAATGAATGACCTTATCGTCTTTGAGAGCTCTTTTGGCATCTCCATTGTCCAAGGGCCCCACTGGTTGTTTCGCAGGCTTCCTGCTTCTGATGCACTTAAAAATAGTTTGCTATTACTTTTTTAGTTTTTGGCTAGCTGTTCTTCAAACTTCTTTTTGGCTTTTCTTATTATATTTTTACACTTAATTTCACAGAATTTATGTTCCTTTATATTTTCCTCACTAGAATTTAACTTCCACTTTTTAAACGATGCTTTTTTATCTATCACTGCTTCTTTTCCTTGGTTGTTAAGCCACAGTGGCACTTATTGGATTTCTTACTGTGTTTTTCAAGTTAGGCCTCTATTATGGCGTCTTTGAAAAGTTTCCATGTAGCTTGCAGGGATTTTACTTTTGTCACTGTGCCTTTCGATTTCTGTTTAATAACCTCCTCCTTTCTGGAATTAAATGCCACAGCGTTGGGCTGCTGAGATTTTTTTCCCACCACAGGGATGTTAAATTGTATTCCATTATGGTCACTGTTTCCAAGCAATCCAGTTATATTTATCCCTTGGACCAGATCTTGTGCTCCACTTAGGACTAAATCAAGAATTGCCTCTCCCCTTGTGGATTCCAGAACTAGCTGCTCCAAGAAGCTGTCATTTAAGGTATCAAGTAATTTTATTTTCTGCATCCCATCCTGAGGTGATGGGTACCCCGTCAATATGGGGATAGTTCAAATCCCCCACTGTTGTTGAGTTTATTTTGATAGCCTCTCGAATCTCCCTGAACATTTCATAGTCACTATCACTGTCCTGATCAGGTGGTTGATAATATATCACTACTGATCTATTATTATTAGAGCATGGAATTTCTACCCATAGATAGTCTATGGAACATTTTGATTCATTTAAGATTTTTACTTCATTTGATTGTTCATTTTCTTTCACGTATAGTGCCATTCGCCCACCAGCACAACCTGCTCTGTCCTTCCGATGTATTTTGTACCCTAGTATGACTGTGTCCTATTGATTTTGCTCATTCCACCAAGTTTCTGTGATGCTTATTATATCAATATTTTACTTTAATATGAGGCACTCTAGTTCACCTATCTTATTATTTAAACTTCTAGTGTTTGTGTATAAGCACTTGAAAAATTAGTCTCTGTTAATCTGTCTGTCATTTCTTGATGTATTAGACTCTTTTTATATTTGACTATTTCTCATTTGATCTTACCCATACTTTATCATCTTCCATCCTCTCTTCCGGACTTGAACATAGAGAATCTCTCTGAGACCCTCCCCTCAGAGATGTTTCTGTCCGATCCATGTGCTCCTCCACACCCATCAGCTTTCTCTCAGTCCTTAGTGTAAAAACTGCTCTATGACCCTTTTAATGTTAAGTGCCAGCAATCTGGTTCCATTTTGGTTTATGCGGAGCCCATCCTTCCTATATAGGCTACCTTTTCCCAAAATTCCCTCAGTTCCTAATAAATCTAAAACCTCTCCTCTCTACACCATTGTCTCATCCATGCATTGACACTCTGAAGTTCTGCCTGCCTACCTGGCCCTGCGTGTGGAACTTGAAGAATTTCAGAGAATGCTACCATAGAGGTCCTGGATTTCAGTCTCTTTCTTAGCAGCCTAAATTTGGCCTCAATCTCTCCTACCTTTGCCTATATCATTGGTACCTACATGTACCATGACCACCAGCTCCTTCCCAGCACTACACATAAGTCTGTCTAGATGTCTTGAGAGATTTGCAACCTGCACACCAGGCAGGCATGTCACCATATGGTTCTCCTAGTCATCACAAACCCAGATTGTCTGTATTTCTAATAATTGAATCCCCCTATTACTAACACCTGCCTTTTCCTAATGACTGGAGTTCCCTCTCCCAGAGAGATATCCTCAGTGCAAGAGGATACCACAACATCCTCTTGAAGGAGGGTCCCAACTATGGGATGGTTTCCCTCTGCTCCAATTGAATGTTCTCCTTCCCTGAGCCTTTCACTCTCCTTAACAGCACAGGAGCTGTCTAACTGGAGGTGTGACTGTTATACAGTGTCCCGGAAAGCCTCCTCTACGTGTATCTCTGCCTCCGATAGCTCCATCAATTCAGTCACCCTGGTCTCCAAAGCCTTTATGTGCTCTCCGAGGGCCCGGAGCTCCTTGCACCGAATGCACACATATGCCACCTGTCCATAGTAATATGAAAAACCAAGGAAAAGAACAAATATCATTTAAAATTAGCACGTTGCATTTAATGCCAATGCATATTTCTCTGTGAAATCTAAATAGATGTAGTTCAAAAGAAAAATAAAATAAAATTTGTTCTTAAAACTAGGGGGCTGAGCCCATTGCTTGCTACGATCGCCAGCTCCCCTCTCTCTGGTGGTTGGTGTCTGGCGGTGGTGGGAAGGGTGCAAGAGCAGGGGAAGGCAGGGTCGGTGGAAAGCGTGAGTGAGGAGGCTGGGGACGCACATTCTCAGCAGGGTGGGGAGTAAAACGGTTTGGGGGTATGAGGTCTCAGCAGGGTGGCGAGTGAGTGGGCTGCAGGTGCAGCGTCTCAGCCAAAGGGGCTATGGGTGCAAGGGGGGGGCTGGCGTGTGGGAGGGCATGCAGTCACGTAACACCTGGCAAAGGTGGGAGGCCTTGGGTCACCAGCCCCCTTGGGAGGGAGGGGTGTGAGTCTGTATGGCTCCCACCCCCCGGGAGCGGGGAGGGCGTGTGGCTCCCGCCCTGCTGCACCAGAGGCGGGAGGGAGGAGGGAAAGTGGGTAAGGGCAGAGGGGAAGGCGGGATGAAGAGTGAAGTGATTATGTCATTTTGTCATACCACAGGGAAATAAATAAATAAATAGAGAGAGCGAGCGAGCGAGAAAAAGAGAGAGAAGTTGTCGAACTTCTTTTCTGATTTGCACTCCAAACTGATGCATTGATTTCATCAGGCCTGTACGGTTGAGTGTGCATACATTATAAATATAAACATCAATTTTACAGCAAGGGAGGATATTATATTGAAAATAGTTATCTGCTGTGTATGTCTCTTCTCCCCATAAATGACACTGAGGTTAAAAAGAAATGAGGAAATTTTCTTAATATACAATTTAAGAACTACAAATTTTTAAAAAACCAAACAACTCACTTAACAGAATAAATGGTTTTGTAATGAAGGGAGATATTTTAATTCTGGGTCTTTATTCCCCTATCTCACATTATGTAACAAGATATTTTAGCATTTGTGGACCCTGATTAAATTAAATTGATTTTTTTAAAGTAATCAGGATTTTTATTCTTAATTTTCCCCCTCATAGCATCACTGTGTGTCAAAATTAAGGTTTTGAGAGTTCTAGCTATATTTTTATGTTTTCACATATTAGGATTTCCGTTAAATTTAACCTTTATTCTGAATGTAATAATAGCAATTTTCTTGTAATGGCTTTTACTCATAAATTACTGATATGTAGTGTCAATCCTAACTCCAGCGTCATGTACTTTATCTAGAAATTAAAAAAACAAACAAGAATCCTTTTGAATTTTTCATTTGGTTCATAGAAAGCAAATATATATTCCTTACATAGATATTGAGGAAAGAACTAGAAAGAGAAGAAAGCTATATTTTCTAGTCTATCTCTACGTAACAACTGTATCTCTACATTTCATGTCTTACAGGTTCTTTCAGAAAGAGCCAGTGCTGACGTAGACAGTTTTACCAAGCCACCTCCATTTTTCCCTCCAGGAGCTCCGCCCACCCACCTGCCACCGCCTCCTTTCCTTCCACCCCCTCCAACTGTCAGTACTGCTCCTCCTCTAATTCCCCCACCAGGTAAATACTGTATGTCTTATAGAATTACTAGAAGGTTACCGATCCACGTGTAGACTGCCGCGCATTGCCCGGGTCCTTAACTCCATTTTTGTTTCTCATTGAAATCAGTGCTCTGGGGTGGGGTTGAGGATGAGGGGGACAGTATAAAGGCTGCCCTGAGGAGAGAGGACTAACACAGCCCCCTTTCACTGCAGCAGCTTGGAGCCAGGTCAGAAGAGCCTCTCCATGGCTGCTGCAGCTCCAGCAGGCACAGCAGTGGAAGGGGTGCATGTCTCCCATGTCTTCCCCTGTGCTTCCCAGCCAGAGTGAGGAATTCAGCAAACAGTGCACTTTCCCCTTGCCCATTGACAAATGGGAACAGCCAACAGTGTTCCCATATGAATGGGGGTGAGGAAGCAAACCCTGCCCATCCTAAAGGGAGCCTGGAGATGGGAGGCACAGTCCTGGATTGGGGGAGGAGGCACCCCCAGCTATCCCCTTTTATCTGCCTGGTGATTCTGTCTCTTTTTTGTATGGGTTTATGAGAAGCAATCCCATTCCTGGCACAATCAATCCCTTACCTTGGTTTAAGTTGTTATAAGAGAAAGATGCATATCGAATTTGGTAGTCCTAGATCTTACCATTTAGTAGGCATTCTTGAACAAAAAGACACATGCACAGACAGAAAAAACTTGCTCAGATGTATAACATTGAAACAGGAACGTGATATTTGAAATGCTTGGTTTAAAAAAAAAATAGAACCTAAAGGGTTCTAAAGAGGGATTTAAATAAACCCCTCTTCATTGACATAAAAATGGCCGCCGCACTGTGCCGACAATCAGCTGATCCGGCACAGCGCAGCAGTCTAGACGCAGATCGGTCGACAAGGGAAGCCTTTGTCAACCACTCCCGCCTTTGTCGACCGCTCCCTTATGCCTCATGAAACGAGGTTTAGAGGAGCGGTTGACAAAGGCTTCCCTTGTCGACCGATCCACGTGTAGACTGCCGCGCTATGTCGGATCAGCTGATTGTCAGCACAGTGCAGCGGCCATTTTTATTTTAATGAAGCGGGGTTTATTTAAATCCCCGTTTAATTGACTATGTCGGGTAAACTACTTTACATGGCTCCGTCAACAGTGCCATGTAGTTTAGATATACCCAAATTGCTTATATTTGAAATCCTAAAATCAATTATTCAGAACATTCCTGCCTCCCCTCTTTCCCATTCAGAATTAAACTGAGAAGGTTGAGTGTGAAGTCTGTTTTTACATCCTCACTACTGACAATCTACAGATATAGATACTAATAGCTACAATTTTGAGTCTACCGTCCTTGAAAGGGCTTTTTTCAGCCTAATGCTTTTCTTAGGAATATTTTGCTATTGTTAATATTTCAGTGTTATCATTTAAAAAGGAGCTATGGATGGCAAAAGAATTGGAGGGGATAATACTAAAAGTGCAGTGGGGCTTGGTGAGGAGGTTCTTGAACAGTGGAGCAGATGTGTGGGAGCTCATTAAGAGTTATGCTATTCATAGGAAGAGAGACTTGTTCAAGGTAGAGCTAGAGAAACACACTCCTCCTTTCTTAGCTTCCCCATTGCTCTGTTTACTTACTCCACTGTCCCCCGGCTGAGCAGTTTTCCTTCCCTTCCTTGGCCTTGCAGAAATCCTTCTCAGCCTCTCCTTATGCCTAACATTTCCTCTGCTGTCTGATGCTCTTTTAGAATCCTCCCTTCTAATCTTCTCTGCACATGAATTGGATGGGGATACCTGCTATCGAGGTAGCTCCATTCCTCTCTGCGGTGGGTTTTTTTTTATGGCCTTTCATGGTGTAGATCAGTGATTCTCAAACTGCGGCCGCCTCCCAGGTGGTCTGCAGCTCAAGCCCAGGACCTCCCCCATCAACCTGCAGCAGGAAGCCCACGCTGACACTCCAGCCTCGCCCGCCTTCCCTCCCTCATGCATTTGGAATGCCGGCATTGGCTTCCTGCTAGAGGAGGGAGGGAGAAAGCCTCAAGCCTCGCTGCCTGCTCCCTCAGCTGGGGGAACAGCAGTGCGTAGGCATGCTGCTTGGAAGCTTTTCCTGCTGCGTCCCTAGGCCAGAATCTGGCCAATGGGAGCAGCGGGGGAAGGTGCCTGGGACAGGTGTGGGACACAAAGGCAAGTAAATTCACTCTCCCTCCATCCATGCCCAGACCCTCACACTCACAGCCCCATCACGCATCCCCCCTCCCATGCTGAGACCCCTGCACTCCCAGTCTTCTCCTGCCCCCTCCCCCTAGCCACAGACCCTAACCCTCTAGTCCACTTCTGAGGCTTCCCCACTGTTGGACACCTACCCCCAGTCTGCTCCTGCCCCCCACCTTTCTGGCCAGAAACCCTACCCCTGCCCGCTCCTGCACCCTCCCTCTTGGCCACACACTGCACCTTCCCTTTCTCTTGTCCTCTCATCCTGGCAAAACACCCCTACTCCCCACCTGCTCCTGCATCCTACCTCCCATCCAGGCCTTGCACCTTTACTCCATCCTGCGCCTGCACTCCTGCCCAGATCCCGCACTCCCATTCCTCTTGCTGGCAGCCCTGTCCTGCACCCTGAGCCCCTCATTTTTGTCCCAACCCAGAGCCTGGGAGGTCCACAAAATCCACTAAACCTGGAACCCCAGAACAGTTAATCTGGCCTATGGGAAGTCCTGAACCAGAGTTCTACTTGTCCCTCCCACTCCCCCAGTAGGGCTGGAGTGCCAGAGGAGTGAAGTGTCTCAGTTGGGGGCCACATCAGTGAGGAGGGTGTGTGTGTGTGTGTGTGTGTGTGTGTTTTGTTTTTGTATTTTGGGGTTTTTTTTGCTTAATGGCGAGTTTCCATTAGCAACTGGTGGTCCACGGAAAGGTTTGCATTGAACCAGGTGGGGCATGGGCCAAAAAGTTTGAGAACCACTGCTTTAGATCTTGCTCATGGAAGAGGAGGCAAAATTCTCTGCAGCTGCTGCTGCAACCTTTAGAATTGTCAGTTCCCGATCCCTGGAAAACAGAATCGTTCTCAATGGCCTGCATCTAGGAAATGGTACATTCTAAGGCAGATGAGGGGGAGGGGGAAAGAAGTTTAAAATGTAATCCTTCAGCTGTGTTTTGTGTGTGTATGTGTGTGTGTGAGAGAGAAATTATGGGTAAAAATAAGATGTAGAAATACAAATTTGCTGCTCTGGAGGCTTTGTAAAAGTTATATTATTGTTAAAAACAGAGTTAATCAGACTTTCAACTTTAAAGAAAACTTTTCATTAAATCAATGTGTACAACTCATTGGAATGGTTTGAAAATAATTATCTTCTTTATAATAGTGGAAAGGATCAGAATTGCAAACTATAAAAGTTAGGCTGATCTCCCATTTTTCCACTACTAAGTGAGATGATGATATGTAGGTGTACTGTGTTTTTATAAAACCTTTCACATGTCAAGAATAGGCATTTAATGAAATAAACACATGTTGCAGATCTGTCAAACCAGTTTGGCTTTAGTCTAATGTTTTACAGACAGGTTTATGACATGCACTTGTTCAGAAAGTCTCCCTCAACATCCTTCTGTGTTTCAAGTAATTTGAAAATAACTATTAAGACCTGTGGCTTTGACTCCTCCAGCCTCCAGTCCCATGCATTAATAGTGCTGCTGCCAGCTCTTTATCTTCAAAGCTGTTACTAAAATAGACTCTGCCATCTCTCCTAGGTTCAGTGGAAAAAAATCCACTCTTGTTACCTAATATTAACTGGGACTACTTCCCAGAAAATTTAAGTACTCCAAATATAAAACATCCTGTAAAAGCCCCTTTGAAAAAGGATCCTGCTTTGAAGTTCTGTCTCCTGTACTGTGTTCACTTATTCTCTTGCAATGCAAATGCTTTTTGAGGAAAAAAAGTACAGGTTGTACCTCCCTAAACCGTGTCTCCTTGGTCCAGCAACATCTGTGTCCGACAAGGATGGTCCTGGGCCAAAGGACCCAAGGGCGGGGAGGTCTGGCAGCACGGCTGGGACCACTGCAGGGTTGGGGGACCAATACTGCAGCCAGGAACCCCGACCACTACGAACATTAGTGAAGTGCCCCCCTTACAAAAATTATTGTACACCCCCCGCTTTACATCGTTATAGACGCATTCAAACATGCCACATAATTTTACGGGTTGAGAAGCTTCAAGCTACAGAAGCCGAGTTAGTCTGTACAGGAAAAAAAAAATAGTCTAGTAGCACTTTATAGACTAACAAAACATGTAGCTGGTATCATGAGCTTTCATGGGCACTGCCCACTATCTGAAGAAGTGGGCTGTGCCCACGAAAGCTCATGATACCAGCTACATGTTTTGTTAGTCTATAAAGTGCTACCAGACCATTTGTAATTTTATGGGTGTTACTGAATCCTAGTGACAGCATATTGTGGCCCTGCTCCCCTTTAGTGGAAGCTGTAACATTTTGTGAAGACTTTACACACTTGGACAGTGTGTGGTGGCTAACGGCAAGATCCCAAAATAAAGTGTTGGAACTATATTAGCGTGTCTTTTCAGGTTAGTCTTCAGGTCAAGTCAGATATTGCCAAGAATGAATCTGTACTTCAGTGCTGTCCTCTCTCAAAAGAAATTATTGGCTAACTATTTTGTCCAAAGAGTATCTTTTTTTAACACTGTGTTAATCAGAAATGAGGGACTAGAGTGTCCCTCATGCTAATTACCTGATTCTGCTGATATTATGTTACACATTTTTTGGCACTTAGTTAATAATTATGTCTAAATCTTTAGACCCCTCCAATACACAAATATCAGCTTTATATCCATGGATATCTGCATCCGTGGATGCGGATATCCACAGCTTATATTTGTGGATACAGATGCAGATACAAATTTTGTATCTAGAACCCTGCAAATATAGTTACCCGCTTTATATCTGCGGGTATCCGCATTTGCAGTTGTGGATACAGATACCCACCTCTCATTTTTGCAGATACAGATACAAATTTTGTATCCATGCAGGGCAATACTTTAGTTCTAGGTAGCAGACACCATGTAAGTATTCCTGGAATTGCCAGGGTTCTGTAATCCCCTTAGTCTAACTGTTGAGGAATTTTACTTGAATTCAGAAGTTACCTATGGCTGCAAAGCCACCCACTTTTTTGGATGGTGTCATTTCCTAATTCCTATTTCAGGTGTAAAATTAGCTTTAAAATTCTTGGTTTAGAACAACAAACAATTTTATAACATAAACAATTTAATTGCCTTAAATTAAGGTTATTAAACTTATATGTCCGTTCAGTCATTGAAAACCAAGCACATCACCAGTTAAAGTGGGTCTTATCCAGTACTCTATCTCAGCTTGTATACTTAAGCACTCTGCTTTCATGCATAAGTCATTGGGAAATTTGGTAAAACAGTAGTGCCAGCAGAATGGCTGACACAGCTATACTTCCATTTTATGCCATAATATGCTCAAACTCCACAATAGATTCATTTTCAATTCTAGAATAGAACCACTCATCATGCATCTAGCGTCTGTCAGTCTTGCCCAAAGATAAACTTTAATGCTGGCTTCTGCAAGGTGAAGGTATCTTACCTAGAGAAGTGTAGTATAATTTTTTTTATTACGAGAGAGATTCTGAGGATGGAGCCAATGAATGTGATTGTGCTTTTTTTCAGTGTGCATATTAAAATAGTCCTAAAAAAGCTGATGAACACACCTTTCCAGCCGTTCTTTTTAATAACATGAAGGAAAGATGTGAGTCTTATCAGATTGTACAGATGCTCATTTTCCTAGTGGAAGCACTGTTGTATATAACGATCCTTACATTGCTTGTTAAGACTGCCACACCTGCCCACATGACCTGTTTTGGCATTAACATGAATGCCCTTTTAGACTTATTTAAATAATTTCTGGATGTAGTTACTAAAATATGTCTAAATGGAACATTCTTCAAATTATCCACAATTTCTTTAGGTTTTTATATTTAAAAAATGTCCATTACAGTGTTCTAGAAAATGCATACCTGGAGTCTTGTGAAAAATAATTTATTAGTTATGCTTTCTTATTGGAGCTGAACTTTTCAAGGAACTTTCTGTAAATTAACAAATTGTTACCATTCAAACAGAAAATGTTACATTATTTGTAGTTACAATTTTAGACAGGAAATTTTGATTTTAAACAAAACCTTAAACATATTTTTACCTGTGTATAGAACTGAGAAAGAAATACAATCTGCACAGATCCTCAAGCAAAAGTTTTCAAATTTGGATGCCAAAATGTAAGACACTTAAATCCATATTTAGATGTATAAGGAAAGTATCTTTACTCTGAGATGTGCTGAGTATCCATAACTCCAATTCAAATTAGTGAAAAGATTTGCATTGAAATTAATTAGTGGGTATGTGCTCTCATTTAGGTGTTGATCTTTAGGCACCCAAGTTTGCAAATTTTGGTCTTAATACTTTAACCACTGATCCTGCAAAAACTTGTCTTTTAAAACTCAGTGGGATTACTCTTGTTATACTGATTGGACCTCGAAGGCCCAGCACCCTCAAGATCTGACTGGTCCCATATGAGGGATTTTTCCAGACTAGGGAAGGTCATTTCAGGCCCCCTGGTATGCCCCCGTCTCCCCTCCCCCGGGCTTCTTGACTCCCCCCTCATAGCCCAGCTGAGCCACGTGCCAGCTCCTGGCTCTCCCCTCGCAGCCCAGCAGAGCCACGTGCCAGCTTCTGGCTCCCCCTTCGCAGCCCAACTGAGCCGTGTGCCTGCTCCCAGGCTCCAGCCGCCTGCAGTGCGTCAGGACTCTGATCCTGAAATATCCATGGTCATACTGGACCACGGATGTTGCCAAACCAGAAAATCCTGGATTTTAGAGATGCAACTAAATGTTTGCAGGATTGATCAGTCTTTTTCATTGACTTCCTTGGTCTTTGGATCAAAGCCTAAAGTAGGCATGTGTTCTTGGTGAAGTATCATGATACCTAGTATATTAAACCAAATTGTACGTGAGGCTAGTTTGTAGTTTTAAGGAGGGGTATAAATTATGTAATTTAATTTTGCTCCCAAAAGGTTACAGATCCTTTTTTGACACATTAAAAAGCAACCAAACAAAACAATAACAGAGCAACAATAAAACAGCCTTGGGTATATTTTATTTGCCTTCTGTTTTTTAAATGTTTTGGGTGTGCTTGGTTCACATTTTCAAGGTATTATTTGCAACTTTGAAACCTAGAACTTCCAGGGTTGTTTTTTGTTGTATTAATTGAAAACGATTCTCAGGAGCTGAAATTTTAAATTAGACCCTAAATATAATGAGAAAAATGACAAATTGGTATCACTGAGTATGCCATGATTCTTACTCTAAAACCAGGAAAATTTAGATATTTTCGTTCTTTGTTTTGATGACATAATTTTAATTAGCTCTGCTAATAATGAACACAAGTTATTGCTAAAATTGACTTAGTATACATCATATATTTTTATTTCTTAGGTATACCAATAACAGTGCCACCACCAGGTAACTTATTTATATATTTTCTGAAGTGTTGTTAAGTAATGTGGAACTTAAATTTGAAGGTGCAACATGCAGTTTTCTACATCTGCTTGTTCATATCTAGATAAAAGGTCATGAACATAAAACTAGGCCTCGTTATCATAGAAAGGTAGAGATGAAACCATTTTCATGTTCCTAATTGTGGGACCAATGTGCCACTTCCCTGAGAACTACACTTCTCCCTCTCCTCAGAGTCTTGTTGAACTGCTGGTGCAAAGCATTCTTGATAACTTCTTGAAAGTTCAGTACAATAGAAAATACTTATGTTTTAAAGACTGATGGCAAATGAAATTGAGACACTGAAAGCATGTATATATTTAGGACTTGACCCTGCTCTTTCATTAAGTAGTTATGTGTTGTCCAGTTTTACGTAATCACTAACTGTGTAGTTGGGTTATTCTTTGTCAGCTCAGCTTCTCTGAAATTAGTATGCCATTGTAAATCTAACCCAATTTTTTATGTTTTCCAATTAAATATTTCAGGTTTTCCTCCCCCACCTGGAGGTCCACCACCTTCTCTTATACCAACAATAGAAAGGTAAACTTTGTTCAAAATCATTCATTTTCATCCCTTGCAACACGGGGCTTTTTTTAAAAAAAAAAAAAAAAAAATCTTACATAAAGAATACTTTCCTTTTATAGAAAAAAAATTCTGCTTTTGTCATTTTGTTTTGGTTTTTCCTCAGTTACTGTGATCTAAAATTTCAGAAGGCTTTAATTCAGATAGCAATGTTTGTTTATAAAGCATTGTGCTATTTGTCATTATGTAGCTCTATACCATTATACTGATGCAAGATTTAAGAACAGAGGAGCTATTCTGTTAGGCTCCTGATTAGGGATGTTAAATAACGGTTAGTAAGCTGATTGAGTAGTTGATGGAATTTCCATCCGTTACTTGACTAGTTGATAAGGGGGTTTGCTGCAGCTATGCTTTTCAAAGGTAGAGCATAGAGGTCTGGGCATGAGCCAAGATAGCTGAGTCCCCAGCTTGCTCCGGGTCCCAGGCGCTGCACCTCTGCTTTTTAAAAGTAGTAGGGGTATGTCTACACTACCCCGCTAGTTCGAACTAGCGGGGTAGTGTAGACATACCCATACAGATTAACTTCAAACTTAAACCACAAAGGATTAGGAAAACAGCCAGTCCACTTCTCACTGAGGAGAGCAGAACAAAATGTCTGGAGTTGCTATGCAACACCATTTTCCAGATGCGGCAAAAAACATGGAGTTTTTTTTTTAAAGATCCTTGACCTCTCTGCCAGGGCTGGCTCTAGATTTTTTGCTGCCCCAAGCAAAAAAATGTTTGGCCGCCCCCTCCCCCTTTTTTGTTAGCTTTTACACGTTTGCACTTTGCAATGTTTTGTTTTGTTATTTGACTGTTAAAAATTAGTGCTACAATAAAATCCTATGGAGTAACTCTCTGTGGGTATGTCTACACTACCCTCCTAGTTCGAACTAGGAGGGTAGTGTAGACATACCCTAAGAGCCACCATGTTCTTACTACATTTAAAAAGGCAGAGCCACAGCATCTGGTCCCAGATCTGTCTCCTCTGTCCTCCCGCGGAGATGGTGCTGTGGGGAATAAGCTTTTAAGCTGGCTCCCCGCAGTATTGGCTCCTTCTTTTCCCCCCTTCCAAGGAGTGGGGAGAGAAGAGACTAGTTGAATAGTGATTAGACTACCCGACTAGTCGTTTACATCCCTAGGGCTGATTATTCAGAGATTCTCAGGTTATCCAGTTGATTATCTAACATAATATTAGCACGTTTCTCTGGAACAGCATCCATGTTACATGCCAAAAAGTTAAAGTTGCCAAGTCAAGCATTCAGAGACTAGGAAATGCTAGAAATTAGGTTTTCTGTGCAACTGTTGACACTCAACCGTGTAGAATCAGAAATGTTCATAACATCCTTATAAGGTAAGATGCAAAATTATTCCCATGTTTATAGATGAAGATCTGATACACAGAGATTATGTCCACGAGTATTGGGAGCCTAAATTGAGATGCCTAGGGTCTGATTTCTGTAAATACTTCACATTTTTATAGCAATTACTGTTCAAAGCTCAGGCCCCATTCGACTCTAGTTGCAGTTGTATTTATCACTTCTGGAAATCAGGTCCCAGATGTCTCAGGATGGGTCCCTAGATAATAAAACATTCACAATGGCCACTTCTAAAAAGTTGGTTTAAATTGCTTTCCTTTGTCACACAGGAACTTTGTGGGAGAGAAAGGAATAGAATCAGGGTGTCTGGGGAGGCCTGTCCACTGTCCAAACCAGAAGATCATTTCTTCCTTTCCTCCAATTCCCAGCCTTATTTACTACACACCTTCCTGGTTTTCAAAATATCAGACCCTGCATGCAACATCCTAAATCAGAACATACACTACTTCAAACCTGGTCTACACTTAAGATAGGTCAGGTGCTTGTAGGGTTGAAAAATGTACAGCAGCTAGGGCAAAGGAATATTAAAAAATAGTACATAATTGTTATTAAAGACTATGGGCCAGATAGTTAAAGCTATCTAGATGCAGGGATGAACTTGGTGGGATTCTCAAAAGTGCATAGGCACCTAACTCCTATTGATTTGATAATGTATATGCTCATGGGGCCAAATTAAAGTTGCACAGACAACCTTATTTCTGGTGTTTCCTGCCTTTTAGTGAATGACTTGTAACCTTAACATTCTAGTAATATGGTTGTCTTTATATGTAGTATCCTAAATTTTTCTTAAAAAAGGTGTAAAACTTCCACAAATTCTATTATATAGAACCAATTTAATCTTCACAGTCAGCAGCACTATCAGAATCTTTAGATTCATAATGCAGACATTTTCCATTTGAATTTATGGGATAACTGGTAGCATCAGTAGCCTATTTTCCACTCTCAGCCTCTAACAAGCCTTCTTGACACGTGCAAACAGATTTTCATTGATTTATATTTTGGCCAAATTTGAGTGGAATTTCAGAGAAGGTAAAAGGTACATTTTTGACATCAGGGTAGCCTCTTTCCCAGATTTCAAATCCTTGCACCACAATATGCAGGTGATAATGCTTCTCAGTGAAAAAGCTGAAAGATTTTTTTTTTAACATAGCTCATGTACCATGAAAAGATTTACATTCCCACTGAGCAGAATATTAAAACTTGCTGAAGGAAATAAAATAGATACCAATTCCTTTTCTTAAGATTTTTCCAGTAAAGAAGTCATAGCCAATACAGAAAACTGAAGTATACGCTTGGCTTTGTTTCTTTGGGTCATTATGTTTTATGGCTCTTTTTTATTAATTATGAGAATAATTTCAATAGGTTTCTCAGTATAGTATAACTTTGTAAACTTCTTTATCTAGTTTATATTAAAACTTGCATCTCTAGTTCTGACATGTTGAAACATTCCATAAGGCTTTCATTATTCTATTTTTAAAACCATACTGATCCAAAAGCCCTTTTATACTGTGAGGCTGTCTTCAAGAACAAAAGTAGCACTCAAGTAAATGTGTTAAATAAAGTATAGAAGATTAATTCAAGCTATCTAGGAAGTGATAAAATTTATCAAAGGTTATAGAAAATTGAATTTAAGCCCTGTGTGCATATCATCCTTTTCAACCTCTATATTTTACCTATTTAAGTTGGCTACCATTGAAAGAAGTAGCTCTAGAAAATATGAAGTTGATTTAGAAGAATATTTATAGAATAATCTATTTGAAGCACACCTGTTTTATATACATATGTGTTTGAAAAAATTGGATTCACTTCTATACCTAGTTATTTAAAGAAAGGATATGAGGAAGCTTTCATTCACAAATTTGCTTCTTGCGAAGCAACTGGGCATGGAGTATGTTTTCTCTGCCAATATTTGCAACTGTTTCTCAGATATAAGTAATATATTGAAATAGAAAATCCAGTGAGAACAAAACAGAATAGTTTAAATGTACTATGAAATATATTAAGACAGTTTTGGGAATAAATGTTTAAAAATTTAAGAATGTTAACGAAGAATACAAATTCTTCTGTCTACATTAGTATTAAAATAAAAATATGTATATATTAGTATTAGATGTCTGTATGTATTCAATTCAGTTAATCATTAGATTGCTTTTTATAGTAGGAATGGTTATGATGGCAGGCATGTTATTTAAATATATCCTTTTAAAAACACTGTTTTAGTCACAAACTTCTAAGAATTGTGAAGAGTGATGGGCAACCTAGGCTAGTAAGTGGGCAATTTTATGAGTGGCCTCATTCATCTCTGTGGGCAGCAAGGTTGTTGTAAACAAGACAGTCTCCCAGATTAGGATATTTTTGCTAACTGCATTTACGTACATAGAATTTGTGGGGTGTGTTGATTGAATCATCGCAGTGCTTTGATTGGATGCAGGGGGAGCACATGGCAGTCAAAGTTGTGTGTAATCAATATGCATCTCACTTCATGTGCCTTTGCTTTACATGTGTGTCATTTTAGTAATACTGGTAGGAAAAAAGGCATACGTCGATGGAAATCAGTGAAATCTGGCAACACTGCTGATAGGTAATGGTAAACAAAATATCTCATGTGCCACACACAGATCCCTGATGGGTCTCAGGTTGCCCACCACTGGTGAAAAGTAAAATCAGGTGATATATATATAAATCCATGCAGGTGTGGGCAGGAACCTGACTTGTATATTTACCTTTCAACAGTGGACATTCCTCTGGCTATGACAGCCGCTCTGCTCGTGCATTTCCGTGTGAGTATGGTTATCTGCTTTGGGGATTTTACTTAAGCTTTGTTAAAAATTGTTTAGAATAGCTATAGCAACATTGTTTCAGGTAAAATATAAGCAAGAATTTGTTCACTAATCAAAATAAGATGATGCAGAAGGTCAAAGTGAGTTTTATCATTACCGGATACCTAGCACTTCATGTTAACAGCACCTGCTTTACCTGGTCATTTATTTTTCTGTCCTCTAAATTAAAATTTCTATGATGAATTTTTTTGTCTTCAGTGCAAATGTTTGCATGATTTTTAAAAAACAAAAAACGCACATCTGTAGAATTCAGTGTGTATCAATAGCAGGTGGACAGACATAATTTTCTTTCATGTACCTTCAAAATCTGTAACTGGTTGGAAAGATGCAAACTTTTAAGCATCTATTTTCTCTGCAGGATGCTGTAAATTTGTAGCAGATGGCAATAGAAAGAAAGTGGCTGAGTTGGTCAGTGTTTTCTCGGTATCAATGTATACTTTGAGGCACAGGATAATCTAGTTCTTTGAGATATATGCCTGAGGGTGCTCCACAGTAGGTGTAGGTGTGTCCCAGTGTCACAGTGCGGATTCTTGATAGCAGTGCATTGGGGGCCGCGCATGTGCAGCTACCCTCCCTTCAGTTCCTTCATACCATCCCCAGCTTCAGCGCCCCCCCCTTCGCTGCCCGTAACAACTCCTCACGCTGCATGCTCTGCTTCGACAGTACTGTAGGCGCCAGCACCTCTTATGACAATGACATCTTCGGCACCTCACACTCCTACCATTACCTATCGGAATCACAGAGACCTTGCAGTCTCCTCAACCTTTAACTTCCCATTTTTATGTAATGACAAACCATCTTATTCACCACAGTCTAACTATACATCATCGCCTACCATTTTATCAGTTGATGACGATGAGAACCCAAGGGTTTTCTCACCACAAGTATCCCCTGCAAAGAGGCATCGGGACACTAGTTTCATTCTGATGCTCCCAACTACAGCGGAGCAGCCATGGCCCCTTGGACCCCATATCCATGGATGCCACCGCCAATGCCTTACCCACCCCAATGGCAATTTTGGAGGCTGTGGCCTGAACACCACAGGAAGAGACCATATAAAATGAAGCATACAGCGAAAGCACTTTCTCCCCTAACTCAAATCACCTCCAGTGTGGCGAGCACAACATGAAATTGACGAATACTATTCTCTGAACTCGGGTCCAGAGGCATTACTTGACTTAAGCTCTGCAACTGTGATAGATGAGGTTATCATGCCACCGCCCTCAGTAACCATCGAGGACTTCTCCTTTTTCCAGGATCTGCTTAAGCGAGTTGCAAACTATTTGAACGTTGCCGTGCAGGACACACAGCACGAACTCACAAATATCCTTCAGGCGATGCCATCTTCAAAAATTGCCTTGGCAATTAACTCAGCCATGCTTGAACCAGCCAAAACTCTGTGGCAAACCCCCGCCTCAGTCCCTCCCACCTGTAAAAAGGCAGACCGCAGGTATTATGTCCCACCTAAGAGGTCAAAATTTCTGTTCACTCATCCACCACCAAACTCACTAGTAGTGGACGTGGCTCAGCAAAGAAGTAAACAACGAAACTGCTCCGCACTGTCTGGCAAGCATAATGAGACTTGACATACTTGGTAAGAAAGTATACACATCAGCCACACTGCAAATCAGTGGCCAACTACGCCGCATTCCTCAGTAAATATGATTTCAATAATTATGAAGAGCTTTAGGTGATATATCAGAAAATAAAAAGGTGCAATTTAGAGCAATCATCGCAGAGGGTCAGGCAATATCACAAAGAGGCCTTTAGGCTGCCTTAGATGCAGCTGACACGGCTACGAGAACAGCAGCCAGAGCAGTTGTCATGAGACATGCCTTATGGTTTAATTGGTCAACCTTCCCTCGAGAAATCCAGTCATCAGTGGAAGACCTGCCATTTGAGGGAGAGAAACTCTTCTCATTGAAAATCAATGAGGTCCTCCACTCAGTGAAAGACTCCAGGGCAACCTTCTGCTCTCTCAGCATTGACAATACAGATACAGCCGTACTAGAGGCCAAGATACCCACATGTCATTACCAAAGGCAAGACCACCTGCCATACTTACAACATGGCCATGATAATCAACAGCATCGGTGGCCCCAGACTAATACTTCCAACCATCCACCCCAACCTAATAAGCAAATTTGAGCCATCCTTTGAGAGATTTAAAAAAAAATCTTATCTCCTCCAGAGCTCCCAAATACTAGTAAACTTTTCACTTACCATCTTTTGCCATTTCTTGACGGTGCAACATCACATCCAATAAATGGGTGATACAGACAATTACCTTCGGATACACCATTTCCCTTTCTCTCTCTTCTTCCACCTCACCCGCCCATCCCGTCCCTCTTTAGGGACCCCTTTCACGAGACTATATTGCAACAAGAGGTGGATCACCTGCTATAATTTGGAGCCGTAGAACCCGTTCCCCTGGAGTTTGAGGACTGTTTTTTTACTCCCATTACTTCCTCATCCAGAAAACAAACGGTGGCTGGTGCCAAATTCTTGATTTGAGAGCCCTAAACAAATTTGTTTAGACAAAAATTTTCAAAATGGTAACACTAGCCATTGTTATCCCTACTCTGGAGCTTGGCGACTGGTTTTCATCTCTCGTCCTACAAGATGCATATTTTCACGTGTCTATATAATCTGCTCATAGACATTTTCTTCGTTTTACCCTAGGTTTGCAACATTACCAATATATTGTCCTACCCTTCAGACTCTCCACAGCACCAAGGGTTTTCTTCCAGGTGTTAGCAGAGGTCACAGCCCATCTCAGGAAACATGGTGTCCCCGTTTATCCATATCTCAACAATTGCCTCATCAAGGCAAGAACCAGGCACGATTCCTACCACTGTACCCATCTGGTACAATTGTGTTTCCAATCATTAGGACTTATGATAAACAAGAGCAAATCAGTGCCCACACACACTCAGTCCATCCAATTTATCGGAGCCCGTCTCGACTCCACCACAGCCGTTGCCTCCCTACCTCCCAACAGGGTCCTCAGGTTCATCCAGTTAGCTCATTCGCTCTGTGTAATGCCACTTGTCACAGTTCACGACTGTCTACAACTTTTGGGTCACATGATGTCTTGCAACCCTGTGGTCCCCTTCTCCAGCTAACCCAAAAAACGGCATTTCTAGTCGCAATAAAGTAAGTTACAGGGACACCCTAATGGAGGACTTACTGTTCACCATCCTTCTTAAGGACAAAGTCTCTTTACAGATGTACCCCAAGTTTTTACCAAAGGTGTGGTCCCTCTTTCACCTCAACCAAATGATACTTACCTACATTCTTCCCAAAGCCTCACGCCAGCACCTGCAAGGCACAGATGCATACCCTCCATGTCTGAAGGGCACTCTCCTTTTACACCCACAGAACAAAATCCTTCAGATTGTCTCCATGACTCTTCGTCTCCATTGCAGAATGCAAGAAGGGGAGCCACATAATCTTTGGGAGGATATCTCATTGGAATTCTGACAGCATCACCATGTGCTACTTGCTCAATCATCTACCACCACCTACCTCAATCTGGGCACGCACTACTAGAGCAGTCGCCACCTCAGTCACTTATCTGAGGAAGGTTCCCATCGTTGACATGTGCTGTTGCTACATGGGCATCAGAACAAACATTTGTTAAGCACAATGCACTTTCCTCCTGGCCTCTCCATTACACAAGAGTAGCAAAGGCTGTACTGCAGACAGCTTACCTGCCAGATCCAACGTCCCTACCTCCATAACACAAATTGCTTTGCAGTTACCTACTGTGGAGCACCCCCAAGGAGCTGTCTGTCTCTCTCGAAGAGGAGGTTACCTTGTTGTAACTGACGCTTTTCAAGATGAGTGTCCCTGGGGGTGCTCCACTATCCTCCCTTTCTCCCCTCTACTTCGGGGGGGGGGGGGGCAAAAAAAAAAAGGCTTTCTCCTGTGGTGGGTTTCGGACAGAGAAGTACCTGAAAGGAGGGTGGCTGCGCATGCTGGATGGTGCTGGAGGACCAGCGCGCCATGCATGCATAACCCCCCATGCATTGCTATCAAGAATCTGTTCTGCAACGCTGGGATGCACCTACGCTTACTGTGGAGCATCCCCAGGGACGCTCATCTCGAAGAACATCAGTTACAGCAAGGTGAGAAACCTCTTCATTCCAACATTCTCTGTGTGTGTGTGTGCGTGCGTGCGCATGCATTCACTTTCTAGAGAATTTTTTTTATTTTACTATTTTAAAAAAAAAAGGAAAGTGGATGATTGTAACCATGTTTTAAATCAGCAAGCAGGAGTCATGTGTTTTAATTGTTTTGCATTTTTACTTTCATTCTTTTCCTAAAGAAAAGTTGATTTTTATTGTCTCGCAACTATTGAAACATGTTGACTTGAAACTCAGTACAGCTTTAATACTAAGTTTGGTATTCTTTTTGCTAACAAGTAGTATACACTGTAGTGCTACGCATTTACTTACGCCATTTATATAACTTACTTTACATTTATTAAGTTCTTTACACATTAAATAATTGTGAATAATGCATTTCTTATTTATAAGATGAGGATTAATTTTTTACTTGTGATTTGTGTCAGTCTGTTTGGATGGTAATTTAAATTCAATTAAAAAGAATAAAAGCACATTCTTTATTAAATAAAACTACTGCAAGTGCTGAAACAAAAAAAATTATCAAATGTATCACAATATTTTGCTTTTATAGCTAAATGATTTTAATAAAACAAAGGAACTATTGTCTACAATTAAGAGTTTGTTTCTTCAGCCCCATGTCCCTCAAGGTTTTAGAACTACAGTTGAACTTCCCAAATCCAGGACTATCTAGTCCAGCACCATCTGTAGTCCGGCTGGGCCATGAATGTTGCTGGACCAAATTGTCCCAGAGGCCTGGGAGCCAGCCAGAATAATGCAGGGCTGGGGAGCTCTGGCTGGACCAGCAGCGGC